AAGGGAAGAATATTTTTGTAACTCTACTCTTACCTCTGTAGCTGTCATACCAAAGGCTACTGAGGTGGAGTAAGAACAGAGTTTCAATCATCAGGCTAAGCAGACAAAGTCTCTGAAATGAGTACTGGTCCTACAGGCTTCACAGGATCCACATTCGAAAGGGCAGATGCAAAATGCTGCCATATCCTCAACAGTGCACGTGCAGGGTGCAGCTCTTGGGAACAGCTGCTATCAAGAGAACAGCAGCAGCATTTCCTTGTGCTACATGAACCTTTGTTCCAGGAAATTCAGAAGAGAGCAAAACCCAACACAAGCACAACCTGCACGTCAGAGGCTTGTCTTACTGCACTTAGCAACACAGGAAACAAGAAACCCAGGTTAGGTTTTCCTTCACTGCTAATACTCTATAGAAGCATTAGCCAACAGTAGCAAACTTGCTAAAGCAGCATGTGTTCCACCACTGTCTACATTTAAAGTTATAAAGACAGTGGAGCCAAAAGCTTAAGTGATACTAACAGGGAAGCGATGCATACTTCAGGACAAGGCTTAGACTAACTCCCAAGTTAAATTAGGCTGTAAATGAGCAATTGCAATAATACCTCCTCATCAGTTGTACAGAACTCTTTCAAACTCTCCACACGCCATTTGTGCAGTGCTTTGACTCATAGATCAGCCTTTTTCAGAGTGTCTGGTTTTTCTTTTTAAGCTTGAAAACCAGTACAAAATGAAGGCAGTGCAGCACCCCTCAATCTTAGTTTCCAACATTACCATGTAAATGTTTCCTATTTAATCGGAGTTATCACCTTGAAATGAAATCAGAAAGAACCAGTTATGAACCTGTTGTAACAACTTATGTTAGCCCACAATGAAGTTGTTGGTTGTTCAGTTTGAGCATTTCACAGCAGTACACAGCTCCCTCCTTTTTTCTAACATCTGTAACAGATCAATAGACCAAAACATTTCTATAAGACAAGTGGCCTTAAACTGAAGAAACAAAAAGGCAAAAGCTGCTTCTCAGTTCTAAACTTCTCAAGATTTCATGGCAACAAAGTACCCTTTAATAATAAGGAAGAGGTTTTCCAACTCCCTTGCAATATTGTATGAAACTCTGAATGTACAGACTATTTACATTTATATCAGCTACTTGATCCTGACTGGCTGTAAGAGGAGTATTGAATTCAGGCACACTGCTCAAGAGTAACTTTTATTTCCCCAGGCCAACAACAAAAATTGAGTATTGATCTTGACAACTGCTCTTTTCTCCAGGAGCTAAATCACATCCTCCTGCTGAGTTACCCAGTCCCTAGCAGCTTGTCTGAAGAGACGAGCTGCATGAGAACCATGTGAAGTTCTTCATATGAGGACAAACCTCCCATTGTGATAAGCATGTCCAATGAAGAATTACTGACTGGGGGCAAATTACGGCATTTCTCAGGACTTTTTCTCCCCTCCCATTCCTTACCAAGTAATTCTCCTGTCAGACTGGAAAGTTTCCTGCTTCCAAGCCTCAAGGTCACAAAACCCTACCAATCTTCACAGCATCACAGACTGGTTTGAATTGGAAGAGACCTTAAAACTCATCCAGCTCCAACCCCTGCCACGGGCAGGGACCCCTTCCACTGGAGCAGCTTGCTCCAAGTCCCTGTGTCCAACCTGGCCTTGAACACTGCCAGGGATGGGGCAGCCACAGCTTCTCTGGGCACCCTGTGCCAGTGCCTCAGCATCCTCACAAACAACCCACAACCGAAACAGATCACTCATTTCCAAGGGCAGGGTTTGCCATGTTTTCTGGCCATTGCTTTTTCTGGATGGAACCAAACTAGGACTTAGTTTTCAGTACCATCTCTAAAGATCAAATAGAAATGAAGTCTTGTAATGCTGGCCTGTAGAAACCAAAAGCATCGTCAGTGGGTAACAGATGCCCAGGCACATACTGGTTACAGAAAATCTAGATAAGATATTATCCAGTTTAATAAAACTTTGTGCTCAGAGTGAGACTTTTCATAATTAGTTTTTATGGGGTTTATATAATGAAAAACTTTTTCAAGTCCATGAAATCAACTACCATTCATTCTGATCAACAACCAGAAAATAACGAATGATCATGATATGAGTTACATCACAGTACAATGACTTTGTAAGCTCATGCTCTGCATTCTGGTCATGCTTTTACATGCAAGGTTGAAAGTCAAGAAACTCAGAGCAGACAACTATAACTCTGTAAGTGAGCTTCTGATGATTGAAGTGGAAGTAAAACATGGTCTTTCCCAAATCCTCTTCTGATTTAGAGATAAAAATAACAATGAAAAAATATCTCATTGCAAGGAGAGGTTATGCCAGCCCCTACTCCCTAGTACGTGAACATCCAATGCCTATGTGAAAAGACACCACTAAGACTGTTTATTAAAAGGGACATTGACTTCTCACTCTTGGAAGGTTGCAGACAGCTTCTGTTTATAGTTACACTGATTTCTTGCAATTTAACCATTTAACCAGCTTGCTCCAAGCCCCTGTGTCCAACCTTGTACACTGACACGGATGGGGCAGCCACAGCTTCTCTGGGTACCCTATGCCAGCACCTCAGCACCCTCACAGGGAAGGAAGTATTTATTTAAATATCTATTTAAATAAGTAACTACTTCTTCACCAGTTTAGGTGATACTCTCTACCATTACTTCTGCAGCTGATTTTGTTATCTCTTATTAGAGGCTCTAATAAACACAGTGATAACTGTCCAGTAAAATAGGACAACTCCAGTCATCTACTGACTGCAGACAGATGTGCAGCAGTTTGGTACTTGCCTTTTGCTAATAAAAAAAAATGACAAAGAGAAAAAAGCAAAATTCCACCTGAAAAAAGAAGCATCACTCATCTCTCACCTATTTAAAACCCTGCCCTTTTCACTGATGTCATTAGGTGCTCTAAGAAAAATGAAGGAAGCAGCGCTCTCTTCTTGGTTCAGTGCATTATTTAGTATCTTTACCATGGAAGTTCTGTGTAATTATCCTCAAAATAGGGTATTTTGAGGGAGCTCCACAACACAAGGAAATTGGAATAATGAGTTGCATTTTCCCATCCACTGTACCAGCTAGCATTTTGAGGAAGCTGTACATCTTCAGATATTGGGTAAGTTTCTCCCTTTCTTCAAATCCATTAGGATCAAGATTGTTACAATTTCTCCACCCCAAAGAACCTAAATGCCATCACCATCAATCTCCACAAGCTCTGTATGACAGCTACCATTAACAGAATGATCTTCTCCAGGTAGATTTTCGTTAGTAAATTAGGACAGAAAACAGTGAGTGGCTCAGCTCAGCCAAGTGGAACAGATTATCCACAGCATCCTTCATGATGTCCATTGATACCTGTAAAAGACATCATTCAGCACAAAGCCAACAGCCTTTCTGTTGTTTTATTTTTACCCCTGCAGTAAGCTAAAGCATGCTTTCTTCAAAGGTAATGCAGACCAGTTTGGCTGCTGCAGAGTGTGCCCGCAGAGTCCCAGCACATGAACCACATCAGCTCAGTACATCCCACTTCCATCTGCAAATGCCCAGTCCTGGGCCTGGCCTGCAGTTATTTCTGATGAGGGTTAGAGAATGTGACCACACAGGGGGAGACAGCCAAAGATGAGCACCAGAGCATGTGCCCATTTCCCAAACAGGCCAGGACATCACCCACATCACTTCATGCTTTCCACCTAGCTGAGAAAAGCCTCCAAACATCTGTGTTCTACCAACAGACAGATGCTGAACACAGCAAACAACTCCACACCACATCCTCAAGCTCAAATTTATGGTTTTTACCAATTCTTCTAAAGATGCATTAAATGTTCACTATATATAACCTGTATAGTAAAGGAAAGGCAGTAAGGATGTACATCCCTGCCCCACAATGCACACAACCTGCCCAGGTTCCTCTTTTGGTAACAGAAGAGGATGCTGCTGGGGATGCTCAGGCTGGGACAGTGGGTGAGGAAGGCTAACACTGCACTGCTCAGTCCCATCCCAGGAAGGATTTGGCTGTTCTTGAGGCATTCCTCCCACTTCAGCCTTGCTATTTGGTCAGAAAGAGTAACTGGGACCAGAATGCTTTTTTGTAAGCTTTGCATTACTTCAATCTACTCGTTGCAAACTACTAACTTGTGACGAGGAAGGCTTTAGAAGGAAGAGAGCAGCCTGTTAATCTGTTCTTTGTTCACAGCACAGTGAGGACGCTGCAAACATTACAGAAATGCAAACCTTCAGAAGATAGCTGTGTGGTAGGAAAAAGTGCTGGATAGAAAACTGCCTTGTTCACCCCCTTGCAGATCACAGAGCTTGATTTCTTTAATGGCTGATAATGTATGTGTGAAACCATATATTTAGCCATTATACATGAAACATGAGGAACATGATCCCTTGGTTTTTCCTGGGAAGGCCAATATGGCTTAGAGAGAGAGGCTTCCTGTCCCTGGAGCAAAATCGATCTGTTAACAATACGAAAGAGAAAGGGAAGATGCTGCACAGCATTTGAACAGGTTTCTTTGTCAGGAGTGAGGAGAGGAATTGCTTCTATCAAATGGAATACAAGAAACTAAATGCTTCCCACTTCACCACACTGCACTCATGAATGGACAGCACTATTTGTTAAGAACCAAAGCTGAACTATTACCCAAGAACAACATATTTTTTTTATGCCTTTACAGGGTGAAGTTTTTCCATCAGACCAGTCTGACAGAAGAACAATTTGCCTACTGGAAAACTGGTTGGAAAAGTCTCATTCTCTGGCCCATTCCAACAGAAAGCAGAGCAGAAAGTTTGGCCAATAAATGACATGCATAAAAACTACAGTTCCCTAAACACTGGCCTATGGAATTGGAAGTAAAATATTCCAGGATATAGGAAAATTCATCATGTTAATTCAGATCACTGACAAAGCACATCTACAAGACCATTTGTTACTATGATAGTAAGGGAACAAAATCATTTCTGCTGTATTATGAAGCTGTAGCAACCTACCTGCACACTTAGTCCTTGTTGTGAGTGGTGGTCCAGGGGGGCCGGTGCCTCCTTCTCCAGGGCGAGTGAGCAGCACCCGGATCTCGTACTCCACATCAGGGTCCAAATGCCAGAGCTTGTAATTAGGAGAGTCTACAATGTGTGTTTCAGCCCAATTCCCAGTGGTCGTCCGGTACTCCACCTCTTTCAGTATGATGGGCCCATCTCCAATGATGGAGTTGGCGTTGGGTTTGATCCACAGGTACGTGGCACCGACAGCCAGCAGCTCAGGGGGGGCAATGGGAGTTGGGGGCTCTGTGGACAAGAAATCATGGAAGCATGAGACTATTGTGGCTAAGGGAGCAAATTTCCACTTGCAGGAATACAGTAACCTCAAAGCAGCTATGATTTAAAATAAGACACAAAGTTACTTTTAAGAGATCAGAAGGTTTACACTTATTCCCTCTGTAAACATCTGAGCAATAGCACTCAATATAATACTGTAGGGTGAGGGGGTAAAGAAACTTTAAATACAGACAACTGAGTGCACTTGCCATATAAAAAAGCTCCAGTACAACAGCCCTTCCTCTACCCTGTGACCTGACATGGCAGAATATCACAATCATTACTCATGGTATTAGGGTTCAGCAAAATAAATGAGTGTAATGCTTACTGCGACACAATTAGCAGTGAGTGGAAAACTCACATGACTTGCTATTCTGTGATTTTACCAAGGAAAAGATAGGTTAAAGGTAGGATGTGGTTTTAAATCGAAGCACTGGCTGTGTGTGTCAGAAAATACTACTGAACTTAAACGCTAGGGATCACAGAACAATCACAGAATCCCAGCCTGCTTTGTGTTGGAAAGGACCTTAAAGCTCGTCCAGTTCCAACCCCTGCCACGGGCAGGGACACCTTCCACTAGAGCAGCTTGCTCCAAGCCCCTGTGTCCAACCTGGCCTTGAACACTGCCAGGGATGGGGCAGCCACAGCTTCTCTGGGCACCCTGTGACACAGCCTCACCATGGGATCTTCCCATGGTTGACAATATCAGTTGTCAGGATTCTTCTAGAACTGAGCTTGTGGTAGCTCAGAACTAGGGCAAACTCTGAGGCAGCAGTGAATCAACACCTCCTGCCATGTTTGATTACAGAGTCTGCTTAACTTCAGGAGGAAAGGCACTCAGGCAAAGTCTCTATGGGGCTTGAAAAGTGCCCAGACGTCTGAAAAGCATCATGAAGAGGCAGGAACCTGGCTGCTGAGTATCACCTCTGTGATAAAAAGAAAAGCAAACCAATAAAAGACATCTCAGCAGCACCCTTTGACAAAAGCTCCAAAATGAAGCAAAATAAAACATCTACAGGGCTCTGGCTGCCTGCCTGGTTTTTATTCTTCCCCTTCTCATCAGTGTGTAAATAACACTTGCATATTGGAAGCTGCATGAACAGCCTATGCCTTGTGGTTTTGAAAACCCTCAAACCTGAGCTGAACTGTGCAAGATTATGAGCAATTCCCTTAACCTCCCTGTGTCACACACTAATGTGCTTTGCCCTCAGCCCCAAGGACACGAACTCTCTTCTGTTGTGAAAATAAGGTGACAAAAGGACGTCTTTGTCTCAGAAAAAGGAACCTATGAACATTACAACACAACATTCATGTTAGAGTTCTGGGGCAGTTATTCTAAATCCAGCTTAAAGGTGATTCCTCAAAGAACCCACAGAACTGGAAGAATCAGAAAGGGAGAAGAAAGGAGCATGAGCACGACATGATGGGAGGAAGATGGGCCCTTCTCCTCTGGAGAAGTATTGCAAATTAATATCTGCTCAATGAAGAGAAATTAATGTGTGGAAACCATTATTACACAAAATGATCAACTGAAACATCATTAATTTCATTTCTGTTGGCTAATGGCAATGAACCAAGCTGTCTCCTTGAGACTGACTGCAGGAGTTGCGCATTTTACCCCTGGAACAAAAAGCAATCTGAATTGTCACTGCAGCAGGTATCCAACATGACCCAAAACCACCGTTGCGAGGTAAGCTTTGTGTGGAATGTCTGTTTCTGCTTTGATTTGGCACTGTTCCCCTAACTCCTGCCAGAACCCTTTTCTGATATGTCAGGCTGATTATGTTTTGACTTAGCAAGCTGAGTTGTCCAAGAAATTTGCTTTCAGGAAATGCATGTGGATACATTTTCATTAAAAAATCAAATTATTATAAATCACAGTTTATTACTTGCTTCTTGGTGCAAGGCAATTAAAAGACAGACTTAGTGCTTTCTATTCCCAGTGCAAAAATGACATCTTACAAGTCACATCCGAGTGGAACACAAGCCAAATGAAATATTAAACTTCATTCTCCTGGACTGCAGACTTCAATAGCAGCATGATCCTGGTTACTTTGAGATTTGATTGCAAGTTAGAAGAGATTTATGGACAGAACTTAATTAATAGAGCAGTTTGTCCTGCTAAAACCAGCCACAGACGTCTCATCTAGCATGTCTAGAAACTACCATTGCCAGAATGATTTAAATTAAGATTTAGACAGCATTACTGTCTTCTCTATTGCTGGTCACACCTAAACCTTCCCCACAAAAAAGTGATGGTCCCCCCAAATATTGATGGTGGTTCCACCCCATTAATTTCCCCCTTTTTAAGTACCATTTGAAAATCAGGTGCTGCAGAATATTGGAAAATGAGGAGTTTAAACCATATTCTTCCCATTTTCCAAATTTAACAGCTGAAGTTACTGAAGGCTCAATCCCATCTCACTGAAAACGGTGTGCTCTTTCCTACTGGCACCAACTGGACAAGAAGCAATTTGTTTAATATCACTCTGTGCCAGGCTCCTGCAAGTGAAGGGCACGAGTCTCCCATCATTTAGCCAAAAGTGACACATAACTAAGAACCATCTCTTGCCATTGCTAACTAAACTCACTTGTGAGTTACAGGTGACCAGCCTGACATAGTGAGCTCACTGTTTAATTAAAATCTCTACATGACCTTGATTAAAAAGACATGGCGACAGATAAGCCTCATGCACATGTAACTGGGACCAACCGGCCCTATTTGATCCAGACAGTGTTTTTTATTGGAAGCTTTGTCTTGGCTTCTTGCTCCCCTTCAGCTCTTCCCCTTCCTCCTTTTCCTCCAAGTGCAGAGGAGAAAGCCACAGGCTTCCCAGCAGTGAGGACATCTGGAACTGGATTTCTGGAACTGGAACAGTATCTAGCCTGAATCCCAGATGGAAGGACACAGGAAAACGTGGTTCCCTGCTGCCCTCTTTCAAGGAAATAAAAAGACCTATGTTGAACAAGCTCAAAAAAGGAAGTTACTAAACATGAATAGATTTTATTGGATGTGCAAATCAGTTCCAGTTGTGCAGACATGAGGGGAATTTGGGATATGCCTTTCTCCTCCCATTAGAAGAAGAAATACAGCTGTGGATTACAGCTTTGAAACTACAGAACCCTGCTAGGGCTTTCACAAGGCCCGAAAAAGACCAAAGAGAATCATGGAATATCTTGAATTGCAAGGGACCCAATAAGGATCACTGAGTCCAACTCCCTACTCGTTGCAGGAATACCTAAAACTCAACCCTATGATTAAGAGCATCATGCAGATACTCCTTCAGCTCTGACAGAATCGATGCCATAGATACTATACTTTGCAACTACTGTGAAAAACACACATACTTTACTCTTTGGAAACTCCTCCTGAGTGTTTCTACTCTACTACTGGAGTACTTCTTTATGCGATCTTTTAAGCAAGGCAATTCTAAGCAATTGCTCGATGATGGAAGAAAATTGCACTCCATGAATCGTTCAGATGCAACTGGAAGACAGAAAAATAGGAGAAAAGTCCCCCAACAAGTGTGATCGCTGTCTCCTATGAAATAATCCATAAGGAAAAAGCCTTATAGAAAATATAAAACCAGCTGGAGAAACCCCTTAAGCTATGGATCTTCTAGGAATAAAACTTCCTGAAAATTCCCTTCTTGCTCATAACAAGACCAACTGACAAAATGTACACCCAAGATGACCAGGAACTTTAACTTGCAGTGATGGCCTCTCAGTGGCTTTAGGCAACAGGAGCCCCTTATGCTACAGAACACCAGTATATCACAAGTATCAGGATTCTGCTTCTAAAGTACTAACCTGTATGTTGTTTTGTTACTGAACAATCATGCCAACACATGAATTCCTCACACAACCCTCTCAAACACTGAAATAACCTCTCAAATTTGGACTAAGAGAATCAGAAAACCAGAGAGGAGCATAGGAGCCTGACCCAAGCCTGCTTAATAGAGGAGAAAAGCAGGTCTGTATCTGGCTGGGCCTCCGGTCCGCACCTTCCACACTTCTTGCTGACCTGGAAACCCTTCCAAACCATCCACTGTGGATTCCCACACACAGGCCAGGCCTGCAGAGCAACAGAAGGTGGCTGCACAATGTACAGACAGCCCTAAAGTGTTCTCATACACACAATGTACAGCCCAGGCTCCAAAATCAGATCATAACAGTCTTCAACGTTCTCTGGGGGTTGATGAGGTGGGGATGGGAGCTCCTACCAGAAGACATTTGCCCAACAAGCAGGATCTGTGTTTTCAAACATGATACTGCTTATTCCTCTACTAATGGGAACTGCAAGATACATGAGCAGATGTGGACTGTGCTTGCCAAGTGGAGAAGGATGGAACTGGAAGGCAAGGGAACCAAATTTCAAGTTCTGAGAACGTTTAAGCAAAACCAATATAGAACAGAACATATTTGTATGGTTTTCTACCGAACAACCACAGAGTATTGCAATTCAAAAGCTACTGAGATCACAGGTACTTAAGTTTGTATTTAATAAGGCAAACTCAGCTGTTCTAAATAAAAATGGAATCATGTTGAATACCTCTGTTCTGATTTTTTGCCCCTCCATCCTTTAGGCAGAATTTGTCACCTTTACAAACCTTACTGCTGGCTGCTGGAGATACACTTGACTGAGCAGCAAACCTGAGTACCCTTTCTAGCTCTACATCACAGCAATAAGCACTCTGAGCTCTTAATGACAGTATTTATCCTGGCAGCGCTCATTAACACACTTCCCTACTGTAGTAAATGGAGCCATTGAATTTTGTTTTCCAGGGATTGTCCAAACTCCCAGTTCCACCTACTGCACAAAGAAATGCCACAAGGACTTTTACAGTATTTAGCATGAGACTATTTCACTGTGCTGACACCATGCTAACAGGTTTTTGTTTGAAAGAGAGACATTCAGATGTGTCTCACAGTGACAGATCAGGCTGACAACAGTGGCACATGTCAACAGT